TTCAAATCTCTTTAGCTTATTTTGGTCTGTCTTGATGTTGTAAGTGGGAGAGCAGACCTCTAAAGAGAGTTAATTTCCTCATTTATTTATTCAACATAAAGTTAAGATTTCTCAGTAAGATACTTAGGTTCTAATCAAAAAATCAAGGTTCCCCATCTACTCTGGCTGCTTCTTGAGGTATAGCACTCTGCATGCTAAGGATGTGAATGGTTTAGATGTTAATTCCCTTCATTAGGAAATTAAATTAGCACTCCTATGCCCACAGATGGATAAATGGTTTCTACCTCTTCTTTTCTTTTCTTTTTCTTTCTTTCTTTCTTTTTTTTTTTGAGACAGGGTTTCTCTGTGTAGTTTTGGTGCCTTTATTGGAACTCACTCTGTAGCCCAGGCTGGCCTCAAACTCACAGAGATCCACCTGCCTCTGCCTCTGAAGTGCTGGGATTAAAGGCGTCCGCCGCATCCACCGCCACTGCCGCCACCACGACGACCACCACCACCACCACCACCACCACCACCACCACCACCACCACCACCACCACTACCGGGCTTTGCCTCTTCTTTTCTAGCCAGGCATGATATTAGAGTAGATGTTTTCTGAAAAACAAAACAAAAAAATTTTTTTGAGACAGGTTCTCAATGTACATATAGCCCTGACTGGCATGAAACTCACTATATAGACCAAGCTGGCCTTGAACTCATAGAGATCCATCTGGTTTTGTTTCCTGAGTGCTTGGATTGAAGGTAGAACCACCATTCCAGGAAAGATTTTTAATTTTGTCATCATTTGCTTGTTCTCACTGAATATTCAAATTCCTGATGTTCTAGTGAATTGAACATCGTTTAAAAATATTTATTTATGAGCAAGAACAACAATAGACATACCAATATAACTGGAGTAAAGCCACAAGGCTTCAACACTGCACCAAGAACTACAGGCAATTAAGGAATGCTGAGAGTGGGAGAAAGTTTTCCCCAGGGAAGAGCACACCAATTGGTTATCCAATACCAAATGGTCAGCCTTAAAAATATTCAAGTAAGTACAGTACATAGACTGAGCAGATTGTACTTATATATTTAGGAATATATATAGATGTATAAATAAATGACATATAAATATATTTATTATTTAGTAATATATAATATGTAATATATCATAATATATATTCCTAAATAATAAATATATATTTTTGAAAAAGAGCAAGGAAGGCCATATAATAAATTTCATTTGGTGGGGGCAGGGAGGGAGAAATAATGTGATTATAATCTCAAAAAATAGAAGAAATAATAAGGAGCAAGTCAGTAAGCAGCTCTCCTCCATGGCCTCTGTACCAGCTCCTGGTTCCTGCCCTGTTTGAGTTCCTACCCTGACTGCCTTCAATGTTGACCAATGATGTAGACGACTTTGCTTGCAAGTGTTCACTGCCACGAATCAAGGTTCAAGGCCCCAAGGTTTTGCTACAACATCAACACTGGACCCTCACTGAGACTCCTCTCTGCCATCCTGCTGTTACTCCGAGTCATGGAGATCCTGCAGTTATGGTTCTGCCAGCTCTCCCACACTGTGACTGGTCTACAATAAGGCAGAATACCATGATGCTAGCAATATGAGGATGAGAGGGCTGCTTACCATGCAATGGACAGGAAGCAGGAAAGGACCCAGAACCAGTTTTAACTTTCAAAGGCACACCCCTAAAGGACTTCCTTCCTCAAGCCCTACCTTGGAAATAGCATTGCTAGCTAGAGACCAAGTATTCAACATTTGAGCCTCTGGGGAACATGACCTGTTCAAACTGTAAAAACAGGCATGTATAATCAAATGCCAAAAATTATTGTAACAATCTATTGCACAGTATTCAGATTTACTGTATTGAAATACAAGATCCTTGCTATAAAAGATGTTGGTTGCTATAGTCAAAGTAATTGCAACTGAGGATTGAATGATTAAAAAAATATTGTTAATACTCAAAAAAAGAAATAATAGCATTTGTGGGGGGGGGCTATGTGCACATGCCTGCAGTGGTCTGCAGATGTTCTTTTTCTTCCCTCTCCCTTCTTCTTTCAGTTTGTCTCTTCCACACTTCCTATAGCTGAGGACCAAACTCAGGGCCTTGCCCTTGCTAGGCAAGCACTCTACCACTGAATAAATCCACCACCCCCATTTGAATTTACTTTGCAAAAAGATGTTGGTTCTGTTTGTTTTATTCTCTGGTATCGAAGACAGACAAGGCATATAGTCTTGTCTCTTTCTTCACTACACACCTAGGACATTGTTGTTAAACATAAAACTTTTCCTTTTTCTTGATTTCAGACACACCAGGAGAGACCTGTACTTTATACTTTATTGTCTTTTAAATTCCTCTACTGGGGGTGAGTCATGAACTCTTCCTGTCATACGTGCACTAAGAGGCATGCAGTGGTAATGACAACTGCAGATTAGTTACTTTGCAAATATTATTCCATTTGTCCCTCATGGACATGATTTACCACTCACTCGAGAAACTGAGGCCATAGAAATTGGATAATTTACCTCAGCCCCCCTGCTTGTGAATAGCTAAGGCAGGACTTGCCTAAGTAGGCGTTCTGGTGATCTTGACTTCTGTACTGTCCTCCAGGTGACTCTTTCTGCTGTAGCTTACATATAGGAGTCATACTACTTGAGGACAGATCAGCTGACACCCTCACATGGACACATTCCTCAAGGACACACATCAGCTTGGTTTGTACAATTTTTGCAAAGATATCAATCATGAGAGAAGGTAACATCTAAGGAAAGTTTCCTAGAGACAGGGACAGGCCTCCTTGAGTCATTGGAAAACAAGGGCTGGTCTAAAGAACTTCCTGTGGAGTATTCACACTGAAACTATGAGGACACCATTCTCATTCTGAAAATCCCACCTTCATTCTGAAAATGCCTGAGGCTGAAAAGCTTTTATTTTGTGGGTTATATTTTTTTAGTAACTAAGAAACAGACATTCCACTACCTTTGAGAAAAATAATATTGTATGTTCTGTGGTTGGGAACCCACCTATCTGCTCATGAAGGAAGTTTCAGAAAAGCACAGTATGTCTCAGTGCTAGATACCTATTTACTAGTGCACACCCCTGTGAAGGCCACAGTACCCAGAGGGGATCCTCATTATCAAGAACATATGAATTACCTCTTTAAAAATAAAGTAAGACAGAAATCATGTGACTGGCTCAGATTCTAAAACTCAGAAGAAATCGTGGAAGAATTTCCAAAGCCTCTTCAATTTCTACTACCAATTTCATAAACAAACCACAGTATTTTTCCATTTGGACTCTGTGCTTGAGTACTTCCCCTTTTGTAATATCTGGGTAACTTCTGTGATGCTTCAATCCATATCCCCACCTTCTTCAGAAGGCTTCAGATCATTTCCTTCCCCACCAAAGCGATCTGTATACATTGTGCCTTGTCCCAGTAGCTCTGTCTGCCCTGTTGTCTTAGAAATAGTGTACCTGCCCTTGTTTCATTTTTGTGCTATTAGGGATTGAACCCAGAATGTCAGCTGTTATGTAAGCACTCTACCACTGCACCATATTCCAAGTCCCCCAAGTATGAATTTTAATACTCCTATAATAGAATTATAAATAAAATCCAAGAGACAGGGCTAATTTCATATAATTTCTCAAAGAAATATGTAGTGTAAGGTGATGGGTCAGTGCTTAAAGAACATTTGCTGTTAAAGCAAGAGGACCTGAGTTCAGCTCTCCTCTACTCATATAAAAGCCCAGTATGACTACTTGTGCCTATAAACCCAGCATCGTGGGTGGAGACCAAGGGTTTGGTGGCCAGTCAATGTACTGCATACACACATGCACATGCATACACAATATAGACATAATGCACACAAAGAAATATGTAGCATAAAATAATTTATTAGGTGATTTTCATTTCAAAAAAAGATAGTGTAATATATATTATTTCCTACCATAGGACAATTACTGTACATTTAAGCACTTTTGTTTTATTGGTAAAAGGTTGACTTTCTCCTGAAATACACACTTATGCACACACCTCGAATGCCTTTTTGTTGTTTTTTTTGTTTATTTGTTTGTTTTTTGAGACAGGGTTTCTCTGTGTAGCTTTGCACCTTCCTTGGAACTCACTCTGTAGCCCAAGCTGGCCTTGAACTCACAGAGATCCACCTGCCTCTGCCTCCCAAGTGCTGGCATTAAAGGCATGCACCACCATTGCCCAGCTTGAATGCCTTTTAAATTATTGTCTTTCTATTCCAACATTCTTGTATGTTTGTATGTAGTAGATATAGTTGTTTGTACGTATGTGCATGTGTGGATGCCAGAGGTCACTATTGAGTGTTGTCTTCAGTTGTGTTCCATCTTATTATTAGAGACAGGGTCTCTCCCTGAATATGGACATGGCTGTTTTGACTAGACTACCTGGCCAGCAAATCCCTCAGGGTCTTTTGGTTTTAATCCCCTACACATACTCTCAAGCACTGAGGCTGCAATATTTAGCTTTTAAGAGAGGTTCTCAGGTAGCCCTGGCTAACCTTCCCTGGCTAACTTTGATCTCACTATGTAGTCAAAGATATCCATGATTTCCTGATCCTCTCATCTCTACCTCCCAAGTGCTAGGAATTTCAGATATACACAACCAATCCTGGCTTTTAACGTGGTTTCTGGGGATCCAAACTTAGGTCCTCATGGCTACATAGCACTCTACTGACTGAGCCATTTTCCAAGCCCCATTACTGATGGACTCTCTTTCTTGAATTATTATTTGTCTTGTTCATACACATAAAAAAGAACGTCTGACTTTCAGAGAGTAAAGGGACTCCCTTTCTTTTAAGTAATTTGTATGTTCACTGATAACACCAGAATCTATGGACTTCTATAACAGCAAATTCTGTATACTAAATTGTGTATAAACCACCTTTCTTAGTGGATACTTCTTAACTATGACACAGATATCATATGCTTACATGATAAATGTATATAATTGCATAAAATCTTTTCCAGAATTGTCTATACCTATTTGAGTGAAACACCATTTGAAGAATACCAAGACAGTATATACTTCTGTCGATTTTTACAATGGAAATGGCTGGAAAGGTAGGTTTTAATTTAATACTAAATAAAAGTAGCTTTTTACATTGCTTACTATTTGATGCTCAGGTCAGTTTTCTACCTATCACAATACTACTGGGAATCTTGAATACATTCTAGAAATCTTTAGTAGGTGGAATGCTATATAATTTCTTCCGATTCAGTGGACCCTGTTCTCTCTCTCTTTTAAATGGCTTTGTAGTAATTCAATGCAGTAGTTGAAACTTTGCAGTCTAAGCCTCTGTTCAAATTCTTACTAGCTGTGAGGCATTAGGCAAGTGACTTAACCACTATGAACTATAGATCCTTTTTTTCTGTACAGAGATACTTATGTCTATATCTTAGTTAGGGTGTCTATTACTGTGAAGAAACACCATGTGTAGACAAATTTTGAAACAGTCTTTTAAAATAAGAAACACAGAGCCAAACACAGGAGTAATAGCCAAAGAGATCAGAGAAATAACAAATAGCCACAACTAGCCTTAGCTTACCACCACGCTGTAACTTCCACAGAGAGAGCTTCTTCCTCTCTAACCTGTGCTTTTATTGCTTTCCTATTCTGCCTTCTCATTGGCTCTAAGCCCAGCCACATCACTTCCTCGTCACTGCCTGTCTATACACACCTCCAGGTCTCTATGGTTGGCACTAGGATTAAAGACTTGTGTCACCAGCTTGGCTGTATCCTTGACCACACAGAAACTCTGCCTGCCATGTGATTGGACTAAGGACGTGTACTACCAACACCTGACTTCTGTTTATGGCTCGCTATGTGACCTCTGATCTCCAGGCAAACTTTATTTATTAACATATAAAATATCACCACAACCATGACCACAGCAACTCCTATAAAAGAAAAACATTTAGTTGGGGCTGGCTTACAGTTCAGAGGTTTAATCCAGTATCATCATGATGGGAAGCATGGCAGCACACATGAGCCTATGGGGGCCATTTTAATTCAAACCACCACAATACCCTATGCTGCTTTATTCTTGCTAGGACATGCATGTGCAATGTGTAGCCCAGTATATGGTGCACAAAAGAAATACCACCAACATATTAGCTGCTATTAGTACTATTGTGATTATTATTCCTAAAACAACTATTTTTAAAAACTAATAGTTGACAATACCCCTCCCCTTTTGAGATGAGGTTTCATTATGTTGTCTGGTTGGCTTGGAACTTGCTATGTAGACCAGGCTGGCCTTAAACAGAGATCTGCTTGCCTCTGCCTCCTGAGAACTGGGATTAAAGGTATGTGCCACCACACCCAGCATGCATGCATATATATATATATATATATATATATATATATATATATATATATATATATATATATATATATACATGTGTGTGTGTTTCTTTTTTTTTGAGAAGTTACATTTTGAGGTACTTTACTTAAAGGAAAGTGTACTATGTTTATGTAGTTTTCCTCAGCAGCCTTTTGACAGGTTGTAAAGTATGCCAAAGATTGATCCATGAGCTGTAAACACATGTATTTCCTAGAATGGGCTGCTTGTATACTCATCTTAAATTAGAGAGGGTAATTGAACTGTTCTATGTTTTGTGTCAGTGACTGTAATAAATTTTAAGTGTGGTTGTTTCTCTGAGTAAAACGTTCTGAGTTGTGATTCCTGACCATAGACACCTTTGTCTTAGGCACTCTGTTTCAGACAATGTGGGCCAACAGATAAGATTAACACCAGCTCTAGGTTGGCTTTTCTATTTTAAAATAACAGTGCAATGTGAGATCTGAAACTTTTTTTTTTTAATTGGTTAGGCAGCCAGTAACAAAGAACACATTCAGACATTACAGAGTTCTAGGAAAAGGCGGATTTGGAGAGGTGAGTAATCTGTGCCAATTATGCTAGTAATTCTGTTAGAAAGGTAGCCAATCATCCACAAACATGAGCTCAGGTAATGTATAACTTTGCCCATACACTTATCTCCTTATTGTGCATTTTTAAAGCTTTTTTTTTTAAAGATTTATTTATTTATTATGTATACAGCGTTCTACCTATATATGTGCCTGCAGGCCAGAAGAGGGCACCAGATCTCATAGATGGTTGTGAGCCACCATGTGGTTGCTGGGAATAGAACTCAGGACCTCTGGAAGAGCAGCCAGTGCTCTTAACCTCTGAGCCATCTCTCTAGCCCCTTATTGTGCATTTTGAGAATAATTTGAGGCAACTTGAAATAAAGGTGGATCTTTGAGCAAAATGTACTTCTGCTTTAAGCTTTAAAACAGTAACAACAACTTAATTTACTTATTTTGCCAACAGTAATTCTTTTGCTTATGCTCTAAGTGCTATAAAGTCAATCTCCAGCTTCCTGGGACAAGCACAGTGGAAAGCACTTGGGTTCATGGCTGGTTCCAAAGGTAGCACAGTGTGGTGAGAAGAGGGTGTACTTCAGAGCTGTACAAGCCCAAGATTAAGTCCTTTTCGCCATTTCCAGTTGTGTGATCTTGTGTCACCATCTTGACTTCATCTTTGGCAGGAGAGTGATGGTCCCTCCTTTAGCTTCCTGAGGACATGAAGCCATTGTGCCTAACCTTGAACTTTTTAATTTAAAAAAAAATTCAGAATTATTCAAATTTTATATTCTAAAATTTTTGCTTTTATAAGAATCTAAAGACATATCAGGACATCCTTAAATAGACTCAACATGATCACACACAAAAACAGGTTCCAATTGCGTCTCAATAAAGCACACTATTTCATTCACTTTACTCCCAACAGCTATTATTGACAAGAAAGTGGGAGTCAGAGGAAGATCCAGCTGAAAACTTCCAGTTATCAATACCCAAATGGCCTTGGCTTATCACATGCTGTGTCCAGCCTTTACCAGGGAAGATTATCATAGAGAAAACAGTTCACTTCATATACCCTAAAAATGTCAGGTATATATAATCCTTTTTCCCCCCCTTAAACTAGGTTTGTGCCTGTCAAGTACGAGCTACAGGAAAAATGTATGCCTGCAAAAAACTAGAAAAAAAAAGGATAAAGAAGAGGAAAGGTGAAACTCTGGCTATGAATGAAAAAAGAATCTTAGAAAAATTGCATAGTAGATTTGTAGTAAGTATTTTATTTTAGTTACGGTATCAGTTACTTTTCTTGTTGCTGTGATAAAATGCTTGTCCAGGGCCGGGTGGTGGTGATGCACACCTTTGATCCCAGCACATTGGAGGCAGAGGCAGGTAAATCTCTGTGAGTTCCAGGTCATCCTGGTCTACAGAGTGAGTTCCTGGACAGCTGGGGTTACACAGAGAAGCCCTGTCTCGAAAAACAAAACAAACAAAAAATTTGTGTCTAAAGCAATTTAAGTAGGAAGGGTTTATTTTGGCTCACGGTTTGAGAAGGGATACAACCTATCACATCAGACAAGGCATGGCATCCAGTGGCTAGTCACATTACATGTGCATCAGGAAACAGAGATAAGAATGCTGGTGTCAGCTTGTTTTCTCCATTTATTCAGTATGTGACCCCAGGCCCTGGAATGGTGCCTCCAATGTTCACGATAGGTCTTCCCTCAGTTAAACCTTTCTGGAAACACTCTCCCAGACAGAGTCTGTCTTCTAGGTGATCCTAAATCCTATCACGGTGACAAAACTTAACCATCACGGTCTTCCCTTGTATGTCGTTTGAGTTGTAGCATTTTGGTCAGCAGTCCTGTAGTAAACCATCATTTGAGTCATGGACTCAGGTGCTGTGTTTCTTCACTGAGTTTTTGTGGAGTTGTGCTGTCCCCTGTTGGAAACAATTTCATTTTATAATGATGTCCCTCTTATTCTAGCTTGGCAAGCATAGGGCAGTGCTGATCCTGCTATCGATCTGTGACTTGTTACCAGTTTTATGCTGTCCACCATCCTATGCTGTCAGGTCTTCTTCACACCTTGATGATTCCTAATCTCCTATGATAGCCAAGCTCATGTGTTAGCTGCCTCCCGTTGATCAGCTCTAGCCCATCAGCATGGTGACTTTGAGTTACTTGAAGGTTCTTTTTCTAGTCCTTCTAAAGTGGGCGTCCTCTCCTCTCTGAGCTCAGTCTCTTTTTCATCCTTTGATTTTCTTTATTTTTATTTTCTGCACCTGAAGTGTTTGCCACTGGACCTTCAACTATCATACTCCAGTTGTAGGAGCTTTCAAATTTCACCCTCACTCTTGCAGATAAGAACTAAAGATGGAGTGGAGTGGTGTGAAACAGAGGAGTGATCCCAGGTTGTAGGCTCTGTGTTGTATAGTGTGGTTTCCCCACTCCTACTTAGATATTCCTTGGAGCATCTTTTGAAGTATAAAGACTGGTTAAGCCAGAGGATGAACGTTGGTGATAAGACGTCTTCTAGTGTTAAAATTTATTTCATTGAAGCCATCTATTTCTTGGTATCAAGATTATCTGCTTTGTAGAGACAGATGTTCCAAACCAGCACCTTTTCATAGCCAGCATCTGTATTTAGTAGAATGACTCTATGTGTTTATTATGACAGTTTTGCATGGAGTGAAATGATAGTCTTTAATAAAGTACATGCATCTTAGAGCTATTTAAACATGTTGTACTACGTTGAAACATAGAAACCTCAAATTTAGCTTTATGAGAAGGATATAAGTAGTTATGGCTTATGATACAACATAATTTTGTTTCTATATTTTTAGCTTCTTCCAAAGAACCTAGACATATTTCATTTTATCTGTGATTCTGTTTTTTTTTTTTTTTTGTCCTGTTTACAATGAATCATTGGCAGGTTCTGTACCCTTGAATCATGGTCCTTCCCACTGCCACCTCATCTATGTAGCAGTACCCTCTTCTGAGTTCCCACCTCTGTCTACACTTGCCCCTTGCTGTCTGTTCCCAATGAAGCAATAATCTGTGAAGGAGTTAAATTGGTCTACACTTTCCTACACTAACTGTCCTGTGGTCATCTTCACACTGAGAGTGAAATTTAACTCTGCTCCATCTTCTCAGGCACTAAGGCACCAGGCTCCTGCAGCCTCTACCACTCAGCTAACCAAGATGTCCCATCAGGCCTGGGAGCTGGGTGTGCCCTCCATCTGGAATATGGCCATCACCTCTGTTCATCCTTGAATATCACTGCTTTCTATTTCTGCATTAGTCATTCTGTGCTTCACTGTCTAATGTTTACAAGATAGAAAAGCAGAACCCTTTGGTGTTTTGTTTGCCACTGGTTCCTGGTATCTAGATTAAGGCTGGCATGATAAATGGTTCTCAGTATTATTTAATATGCATTAAGTGTATGTAGGATGGATACTCATTCACAGGAGGAGAGAAACTAAGGGTCTTTGTTTCTTGAAGCATGAATGAGAAATACCATTCATTTTAACTCTGGTCCAACATATGTTAGCTGATGATGAAGTGGACAGCATGGATGCTGTGGAGATGTCATCCCACCTTCCTCATTCTCAACCCTCTCCCTTCTACCTGCAACTTTACTCTCCTAGGGTTTAATAAAAAATGTTGACCAAGTTGGATTTATTCAAGACATGAAAATTAATTAATATAATTTATTATATTACTAGAATAAAGGGGGAAACCATATAGTCATTTTAATAGTTGTAAGGAAAACTTTTATTAAAATCCAGGTCCCATTTATAATTAAGAGTTCTAAGCAAGGCTGGAAAGATGGTTCAGCCATTAAAGGCTAAGCTTACAACCAAAATGTCAAGAGTTCTAAGCAAACTAGCTTTACTTTCTAGTACGCATCATTTATCATGTGGAGCTATTGGAATGTCTGCCCCCATGTCTAGGACACCCACTCTCACTATCTCTACTTCATATTGTATTGGCAATTCTAGCCAGTGCAACAAAATAAAGGAAAGGAGTTAGGGTTAAATTAGATTAGAATTAGAGCTAGAGAAAGAGGTAAAGGAGTAAAAGATTGTATTTTTGAACAATGTAACTGTATGTGGAGACAATCCTACACTTTCTAGATAACCAACGTAAGATTTAACTAAATGACCAGAAGTGAATCAGCCACAAGCAGTTAGGAGGTGGGCGTGTGTGCATATGTCTGTATGTCTGTCTGTACATGTAAATATATACCAAATACATACTTGTGTATATTCTCTTTTGTTTATTTTATTTTATTTTATTTTTGAGACAGGGTTTCTCTGTATAACTTTGGAGCCTGTCCTGGAACTTGCTCTGTTGACCTGGCTAGCCTTGAACTCACAGAGATCCACCCACCTCTGCCTCCAGAGTGCTGGGATTAAAGGCAGGCGCCACTACCCTGGCTCCCATGTACATTCTTACATGGGCCAGAGGAGTACATTGAGTGTTCTGCTCTATAACCCTTCACCTTATTTTCCTGAGACATAGTCTCTGACTGAACCTGGAATTTGCTGGTTTGTTTATTCTTTGTTTTTTTCCAGTTAGGCTAGCTGGCCAGCAAGCTTCATCAATCCTTCTTTTTCCCCTCCACCCCGGGACTGGGATTACAGGTATTCATGGCCATGCCCAGCTTTTTTTTCTTTTTTCTTTCTTTCTTTCGTTCTTTTTTTAAACTGGGGTCAAAACTCAGGTTCTCATGTCAACATAGCCAGCACTCTTCTCCCTTGAACCATCTCCCCAGCCTGTAAATGAAAAGCGTATTAGTAACATTTATAGTAGCACCAAGAGTCATCCCAGTCTAGGCAAAAGTCCTACAAAATATGCAGGACTTCTACACTTAGAAATGTAAGATGCTGTTATAAGAAATTAAAGAATGCCTTAACAGAGAGGGGAATGTGTTCCCAGACTGAGTGATTCAGTGTTGTGAAGATGCTGCCTCTTCTCAGTTGATCTAGAGATTAAATGAGTTAAGTATAATCACAACCCATATCCCAGCAGTGTGAGTTCATGTGTGCATGTGCATGTTTGTGTTTGAATTGTCATACAAGACTATAGAAAATGAGGAAAAACTTACCAGTGTCTAGGTATGTAGCTCTAGGGGAGAGTACTTGCCTGACAGATATGAGGCACAAGGTCCAACTAACAGGAAGAGGAGAAAGAGGAGAAGTAATATTACTTTTGATCAGATGCACCTGTAATCCCAGCTGCTTAGAAAACTGATGTAGGAGGATCACTTGATCCCAGGAGCTCAGGGCCAGCCTGGAAAAATTTCATTTCTTCAAAAAGCAAAAGAAAACAAAAAGCATAAAGGCGTTTCATAAAAAAGGCTGCAACTGACTAATAAATTTATGAAAAACTATGGGCGGGTATTCATTGCAGGTTAAAACAAGAATTACAGTTCAAGGCTAGCCCTGGCTATATAATAAGTTAGAGACCAACCTAGGCTACATAATGAAACCAGTCTTCCAAAACTAAGGATTGGGGGTATGGTTCAGCATCACAAAGCAACAACAAAATGACATAATCAGAAGCCATTGTACCCGACCATCTTTGCTCAAACCAAAAAGATCAACATCACCAAATGTTGAAAGAGTGTGGAGCAGCAAGCTCTTGCCAGAACTGCTGAATGCAGGTGCATCAGAAGTTCTTAGTGTCACTCAGTCAGACCACAGTGTGGAGAAATCAGTATCCAACTATTCACTTTCCATGCAGAGCTGCAGTGAACACTTGGCTAAGTAAAGGTCCAGAGACATGATGTGTGGTGTGTACTTCTCTGAAGCATATAGTGTTTGGGTGTTCTAATTATAAACCTAACAGATAATTGAGGCTATTGTTAGCAAAAAGAGTAAGTCAAGAGTAAACAAGCAGATTTTTTTTGTATATTGTTTTTTATGATGCTGTTGTCTTTAGGTTAGTTTAGCCTACACTTATGAAACCAAGGATTCCTTGTGTTTGGTGCTAACCATTATGAATGGAGGGGATTTGAAGTACCACATTTACAACCTGGGCAATCCTGGCTTTGAGGAGCCGAGAGCTGTGTTCTATGCTGCAGAGCTGTGCTGTGGCTTGGAAGATTTACAGAGGGAAAGAATCGTATACAGGTAAGAATAGTGCAACCTGACAGGGCCTGTAAGTGTTGAAGCCTGTTCACCTAAGCCCTGGCTTCCACTGGGAGCTTCCTCTGGCTCTTACAGGCTATCATGGAATGGGAAAGGGACAACAGGGAGGCCTTGGGTGGCATTCTGAGGGGTGGGGGTTGTCCCTTAAACTCTAGGGCACAGCCAGTCAGAAGTGTACCTTGTTTTCCTTCTTACTTTGTCTTTATTCTTCTAAGAAATTGTCCTTTTCCCTTAAGCTGATCATATAGACAGTGCTATTTGTGTAAGTATGAGAAATCCTGTTTCCACAATCCCGAGATATTTGACAGCTCTGATAAAGACATTCTAGGAAGATAACAGAATCAAGTGTATTAAAAATGTTTTTGCCGGGCGGTGGTGGCGCACTCGGGAGGCAGAGCTAGGCAGATCTCTGTGAGTTCGAGTACAGCCTGGTCTACAGAGTGAGATCCAGGACAGGCACCAAAGCTACACAGAGACACCCTGTCTCGAAAAACCAAAAAAATAAAAATAAAAAATGTTTTTTTGGGGCCTAGGAGATGACTCAGTGGTTAAGAGCACTGGCTGCTCCTCCAGAGCAATTCCCTGCCCCCACACAGTAGCTGACAACTATTTGTAACTGGAGTTCCAGGGGATCCGACATCTTCAAACATGCAGGCAAAAACACCAATCTACATAAAATAAAAATAAATAAATTTAGAAAAAAAAAAGCCAGGCGGTGGTGGCACATGCCTTTAATCCAGCACTCCAGAGGCAGAGGCAGGCAGATTTCTGTGAGTTCGAGGCCAGCCTGGTCTACAGAGTGAGTTCCAAGACAGCCAGGGCTGTTACACAGAGAAACCCTGTCTCAAAAAAAAAGTTTTCTTTTCATCTTAGACTTCATTAAGAAAATCAGATTAATCTTTGTAGTTAGAATTATCTTAGTACAATCAGTATATTTAAAATTTGAAAACGGCTTATCTCTCCTAGATATTAGGGTTGTTATGCAATGAATTTCATATTGATCACTCTCTCTGGGGACTTTTGTTTTCTCTTCCAGAGATTTACCTGCTGGTCAATCCTTAATGAAAATTTCTTTCCTTTTGAAAAACTGTTTTTGTGCATGTGCATGTTTGCAGAAGCACCTGGGTGGACGGCCAGTGATAGCTTTGGGTGTCACTTGTCACCTTTCGGCTTGTTTGAGATGGGGTCTTGCTGTGATAGCTGGCCTGTGAGCTTCTGGGGATTCTTTTGTCTCTGCTTCTCATCTCACCATAGCAACACTGGGATTAAAGATACTAAATCACCTGGCTTACATGGGTTCTGGGTCCTCAAACTCAAGCCCTCAAGCTCACAGCAAGTGTGTTTACTCACTGAGCCATCCCTCTAGCCTCCTAATGAGAATTCCTACCCTTGTGCCTGTTTTAAAAATGTACACATTTCAGAGGGATCTATGTATCTCTTGCTCTCATCTTCTCCACTCAGTTGTCATCACTTTACTTTGGAATATCTCCATCAGTCTCTATTTTCCGTGGTGAGCAGCTTAGTTCATGTCTTTCTCTTGCCAGCCAACTGACAGAGACTTGTGTTGGTCTCCATACTGCCTGTGTTGCCCCAGTGCTTTTTCCAGAAGATCCTGACAAGGCATGTTTGAATGCAAATTTGACTCCATTTCATCTTCTTCTGGCTTGGGACCCTTGTTCACCAGGTGTTCAGACCCTTTAGTAGTTAGCTTCTTACTGACTTCTCCAGCCTTGTTTCCTGATGACCCACATCAATCTCCTCAGTCCTTGTTATGCAAGTGTATTTGTGGTTTCCAGAACATCTGAAAAGTTTTTGTAACTCCAGTCTTGGCAGTGTGTCCCTCTGTGGATGCTTTCTTCACCGCAACCCCTCTTCCCATCGATAAAAGGACCTCTGCTTATCTTTCCTGAGTTATTCCAGTAATGTCTCTGTCATAGTCACTGTTCTATTGCTGTGAAGAGACATACTGATCAAGGCAACTCTTATAAAGGAAAGCACCTAATTGGGGGCTTGCTTACAGTTTCAGAGGTTTAGTCCATTACCATCATAGCAGGGAGCATGGCAATCTGTAGGCTGGTGCTGGAACAGTAGCTGAGAGCTACATCCTGATCTGTAGGCAGAGAGAAGCAGAGAGAGGGGCTTTTGGAACCTCAAAGCCCATCCCCAATGACACACTTCCTCCAACAAGGCCATTCCTCCTAATCCTTTGTCAAAGAGTTCCACTCCCTAGTGACTAAGCATTCAAATATATGAGTCTGTGGGGTTCATTCTTGATCAAACCACCACATCCTCTCCCTAGCAGTGTGAGTGCTGTCTCTCCAGCATCCCTATAGTGCTCTGGAGGGCAACTCTCACTCTGGAGTTGGTCATATCAGACTGTGAGCTTCTCAAGAGTCCCTTGTCTTATTCATGCTACAACGATTGACCTTCAGTTTTTCTCTGTTGTCTCCCACAGACCAGACACTAGCACTGCAGAGGAGCTGATACAGCCTTACCTTCAGTTGCTGAGCAAGGGGGAGGTTACTACCCTGACCATGATTCCTTAGAGACAAAGGTGTCGTATCTGAATTGAGCATACCTTGTTTGCTGTTATTTAGAGGTAGAGTCAGGTCTCACTGATTTAGAAATCAAATCTGGAGGGCATTGGATTCTGGGTTACTCCTGGAGTAAATCAGGTTTATAAGTGACTTCAACTGAGACCCACCTGTTTGTCTTTAACCTCAAGGTGAGTTCCTGGGTTGTCTGGAGGAGTCTCATTTTCTTAATCTAGTGCCTACTTGGCCTTCAGGTAGTACCACAGAGAAGGTATGATTGGGGCAGTCCATGGGAGCTGGTCTGTGTCTCCCTCCTTCGGTATCCACAGTGCTTGCCTTCAGTGATGCCCTGAGTGTTTTATGAATGAATGACTTTGAGCTTCTAAAAGTGTCTCTCTGTTCTGTTTAAACAGTGGTATACCTCAAGGAAAAGGTCTTTTGTTTATTTTTAATGTTTTATTTCCTGTTTTCAGAGGTTACCACCTAGCAATTTATTTATTTATTTATTTAAATTTAATTTTATTTTTTTCGAGACAGGGTTTCTCTGTGTAGTTTTGGTGCCTGTCCTGGATCTCGTTCCATAGACCAGGCCGACCTTGAACTCACAGAGATCTGCCTTGCTGTGTTTCCCAAGTGCTGGTATTAAAGACGTGTGCCACCATCGCCCAGCAGCAATTTTTATTAAACCATGTGCCAGAGAGATAAGGTTTTGTTTTGTTTGAGATAGAATCTTACTGTGTAGCCTTGGATGCCCTGGAACTTGCTATGTAGACCAGGCTGGACTCAAACTCATAGAGATCTTCCTGCCTCCACCTCTGCTAGGATTAAAGGTGTACAGCACCACTATACATGAACTTTGTCAAAACCATGATCTAGATAGACAATATGGTTTAAAATGTTTGAATTTTCCGCATTCTGAAAATCAGCAAAAAGGAAGAACTTCTGTGTAAGGAACATGGCAGGGCTTCGATTTATTCTTTGCAGTCAGAATTGAGAGCCTAAGTGTAGCTAGAGTTTTCCTGCCTGGCCCAGAGTCAGGGCAAATCTCTGTCACGCGCCAGTCCCACAGCCACTCAGACCCAACCAAGTAAACACAGAGACTTATATTGGTTACAAACTATATGGCCGTGACAGGTTTCTTGCTAACTGTTCTTACAGCTTAAATTAATCCATTTCTATAAATCTCTACCTTGCCACATGGCTCGTGGCTTACCGGCATCTTCACATGCTGTTTGTCATCGTGGCGGCTGGCAGTGTCTCTCTGACTCAGCCTTCCACTTCCCAGCTTTATTCTCCTCCTTGTCCCGCCTACACTTCCTGCCTAGCCAATGGCCAATCAGTGATTTATTTATTGACTAATCAGCAACACATTTGCCATACAGAACATCCCACAGCACCTAAGGGAGGTGGCACAGTGCCAGGATGTCTTGCTTCATGCAGGTACTATGACATGCTTGAATCTTGCCAAGTTGAACCTTATTCTTTCCATATATTTGCATGGGGTCAACTCCTGAGAATCTTTCTAGGAGTCCTGCTTTTAATGAGGCTGGACAATGGGAGGAAAAGGGTAGCCTGACCAGGATGGAAGGGCTTCTGTGAGCATTCTGGTGAACGCCAACATAACAGTTCACTGGAACCCACATATTTGGAAGGAGACAGAAGTAATTGAGGACCTTCTCGGTCCTATGCTATGTCTGTTGATTTTTATCTTATTTATGTAAATGAAAGGTGAGGGCATTAGGAGAAGCCATTGTGTCATAGGACCTTTTATCTTGTGTTTTAGAGGAGTACTCCATCTTTTTCTTTTTCCTCTCTCCAGAGCCCTCTTGTGTTTGTTCAGATAGAATTTTTGAAACAAGAAGTCACCAGAGGTGCCTGGCTTAGGATGGCTCAGGAGTGCTGTCAGGCAGTGAGGCTGTTGTACTCCATAAATACAAGCAATGAGCTGCCCAGGCCCACAAGTGTAAAACAGGATCCTGGCAACAAAGGCTTGCTTGTGTGATCCTTGAGCTGTCATGGTTGCTTCAATACCTCAGATACCTCTGCCTTATAACATACTATTTAAAATATTTGACAGAAAACAAAAATCAAGTGAATGAAATCCAGTGTATGTGTTGGGAGAGTCTTGAGAGAAGATAATTGTACTTTGTATTTATTATTTATTTATTGTTTGTTTGTTTTTTAAGACAGGGTTTCTCTGTGCAGCCCTGTCTGTCCTGGGACTTGCTCTGTAGACCAACCTGGCATTGAAATATAGAGATAGAGATCTACCTTCCTCTGCCTCCCAAGTACTGGGATTAAAGGCATGTCCACCACCATCGAGCTGCAAAAACATTTCTTGATTTAAGAAGTCAACTTTCAGTTTAAATGAAACAAAAAATTACAAAACAAATAGTTATGTTTGTCTGGTTCAGTTCTTTACTCTCATACTCTTAGCAGACATCCCAG